AAGACACTTTTTTGCAGACAACGAAAAAGTGTTAACAGTTATTTGCGAGCTATGCTTGAGAGTCATTTCATATCTGTCAATTTAGTAAGGATAAATATCTTTCACATATTGGCATTGCAATTTCATGATTCTTTTCATTTCATTGCTGTCTAAAATTTGGGGCTCTCTATCTAAATTATTTGGCGACTATAGATTTATAACAGATTATCGATAGCAAAATAACGGAAAAGTTATCGATTTCTGAAGAAAAATTCTATATGCGATATTTCAAGTCTGTAGCTCTAATATCTTATGAGATTGACGCATTCATACGAACAGACGGACGAATCAGCTTGGTGCCCTGATCAAGAATATATATGCTTTACGGGGTCTGTCACGCCTCCTTCTGCCTGTTCACAAAACCATTATACCCTGATTTCCCATTTTCAATGGGTTTAGGGTATAAAAAGGAGCATATCAAGATTTGCGCTTAATAGCCTTGTTTGCCTTTCATTTAAAATTTTTCCAGAAGAGGAGTTGCACAGCTTACATAAAATATTTTTGCCACAATTTAAGGTCCGTTGCCTCCTGCCAAAAATCTAAGATTGACAAGTTTGAATTATAGCGTGTGGCATAATATTTATCAATTTCTAAGTCAATTGCATTTTTGCCAGGTTCGTCAAGTTTTCTTTTTTTTGGTTGATTTTTGTCCAAAAACTCTAGAAATTCAAGATTCAAATTTGTTGGAGAGTTTTCAATTCTCGGGTCCTCAATTGAATCATTTTGCATAACATAAATTTCAACCATCATACTTTTGACGGTCTCCAAAATATACTTTTTCGGGTAAAACGGGTTGAGCGGCGTAACCCGCACCCAACGCGAAACTCGATTTTTCAGCCCATACCCACGGGTAACCGCCGGTGCCCACGGGTACCCGATAAAAACCCGGCCCGTGCCCACCTCTAGTATAAAATTCGATTTCCACTAGAAATATAAACAAATATGATTTTTATACCCTGAACCCATTTTCAATGGGAAATCAGGGTATAATGGTTTTGTTAAAAGTATGTAACAGGCAGAAGGAGGCGTGGCAGACCCCACAAAGTATATATATTCTTGATCAGGGCGACGAGCTAAGTCGATTTGACTCTGTCCGTCTGTCTGTCCGTCCGTCCGTCCGTATGTATGAACGCGTCGATTTCAGAAGATATAAGAGCTAGAGACTTGAATTTTTTTCCTAGGTCCGTGTATATCACGCGCATATCAAGTTTTTCTTTATATATCGATAACTACTCCCGATATTTTATTATCGATCAAAAACCTTATCGAAAGCTAGTTATTTAATTATATCTCCTACACCTTTAGAGCTAGAGCTTGCAAATTTTAAATGTAGACTTATATGTATGTATTTTATATAATTTCGATTTTTGTTGTAATTTACCCCCCACCCCTATATCCACCCCCTCACCCTCACCTTTGTAAAAGGCGTATTTCAAGTACTAGAGACATGTGCTTTGGAATGTACATACATTTTCACCATATAATTACGCTCTGAAACTTTCATTAAGATTGTACGTATACAAATTAAATTATTCAACAAATAAATTCTTATAATGTTACCTACACTACAGCGCAGCCCAAGCGCAGTTAGCAGAGCGCATTCTAATACGTGTGTGTGTATGTATGTGTGTCGAAAAGAAGTGCAGACTGATTAGAATATCAGATTAGAGGGTTCAGGGTATCTCCTAGTCGAGCAGTCTCGACTAGAGTCTTCTTTTTTTTTTTTTTTTTTTTTTTTTTTAAAGAGACGAATACATTTGCGGTATTATGAAAAATAAAAATCTAGCGTGGAACATCTTGAGAAAAAGGAATTGGTTTCATTGCTAAAAAATACTAATAAAGCTGCAATCGAGCGTTACCAACTGCAGAATACTTATTCACGATACATCAGCAATTTGATAGCTAAGTATTGCAGAAAATTCAGTTTTTCCCGAGTTTGCCACGCCCCTACTAGGCATCGACATCTCATTTTGGTCAGTTCTTAGAACGAGCTAACATAACCTAACTGCAAAATTTTGATGCTTACGCTCAAAAAATGTGAAAATTACAGGGCATTTTTTGATATGCCACGCCCTAAAGAGGCGTAACATATTTTTGGGTCGATTGAGGAGGTTACTACAGTGCTTATCATAATTATAGCCCACTTTTAATCCACTTAAACGAATCGGCTGAAAATTTTTCCCAAATGGAATATTTCCTCAAAATCTTCAAAAATGAGTAGTTCAATATTTCAATTATGAATGGCAAAAAACTTTTTCACTTAAAATTCACGATTTAATAACGATTTCTTAAAAAGAAGTAAAAAATAAGGAAAAACAGCACCATTTTCTGTATCAAAATTATAGCCCATATTCATATTTTTGTAAAAAAAAATCCGAATTCGTTGCGGATTAATGGAAAAACTAATGTTAATACTTAGTCCGGCCTCCATTTGTCTTAGTTAACTCAAAAATTCTCTTCCTCATTGAAACCACTAAATTTAATAAAAGGTCCTTTTCGAAACTTTGTTATTTAGTCATTGTCGTTTAGAATTTGCGTTTTAAGATATCCAACTGTCTCCAACTGGCGATTTTTTGCATACACACGTCTTGCAAGATTACCCCAGACATTTTTATCGGGTTGAGATCCCCAAAACATGCTGGCCAGTCAAGGACATCAACATGACATTCCTCCAAACACTATTTTGTACGTCTGCTCACATGGATTCCCCTTGAATATGGAATGAGAATACTATCCAGAGCCTGAATATACTTTTCACTGTTCATTCGGTTCGTTACAAACTTCAATTCCCAGGTACCAAATGAAAAAAAATGGACCCCAAATCATGACGGAGCCACCTCCAAAGTTTGTCCTTGAAAAAAACATAGGATCCTTCCTCAAATCATGCTAATAAGTATCAAACCCATCAGGACCATCCAGGTTAAACTTCTTCCCATCAGAAAATACGACCTGTTAGGGTAAAAATTTATAAATATACTGTAAGCCAAAAGACGATGATTCAAACGCGCGTATGTCAGATCGGCCGCAGTATGTCCATCGGCAAAACCAAGTCGAGCAACCTTGTGGCGACTTAGCAACATGGATGCTTTGGTCAGTTTAGACCTATTTATGATTCCTGAGCTCTTAAGTACTCGCCAAACAGTCATCGCTGACATAGATTCGGCCACATGTGCGGCCAAAGCTATACAAGCGGTTGGGTTGTTGCTGGCTTTCTTAATAATTTTGCGTTTATCGTGCGCAATTAGTAACGGCTTTCACCCAGTACGTCTTCTTGATCCTTATTCTTCGGGGTTATCCAAAAAAATTTTAATTACACCTAGACTTTTTTTCAAAATTCGTAAAATACTCGAAATAGACTCTCCTGGCTCGAAAAGTGAGAAAATACGGCCCTTTTCATAATAAGATAATTGTTTTCCAAGCGGCATCTCTTAAAAACTATCTAAATTTACTTAATTACAATGTCTGTAAAGCCAAAAGTCTGTTCCGCACTTAATAAATTCAAATTTGCGACAGTGGGCTATAATTATGATACACAAAAATGCAAGCAAAAATGCAAAAGTTAACGGTTCTTTCTTAGTTTTCCATAAATTGAACTAAAATTTTGATCAAATCTACTGAACATGCTCCAGTCTATAATGTGCTGTAAAATTTATTTTTAAAAAACCTTAAAAATTTTGTTACAACGGGCTCAAAGTTTAAGTTGCAGGGTGGGCTATAATTATGATAAGCACTGTAGTAACTCAATTATTCAAAGCTGAAGCTTTTAGCTCTTAAACTGTAGAAGATATAAACTTTTTCGGTTTGCCACGCCCCCTGTGGTCGGACATATATCCGCCATAGCTTTTTGGTTTTAGGGGTCAGCCCAAGTGTATATATCATTTTTCAGTCCCTAACATCAATACTGCCCAAAATATAGAAGAATTTTAAATATCACTATATCTTCAGTTCCAATTTGCCACGGCCCTAGTGGGCGTAAATATATTCGCCATAGCTTTTGATCTTGGGTGGTAGATATGGATCCAATATACTCATTTCACTTTCGTGAATGAGTATATAGAGCACATATAAGGGACGTTAGAGACAAATACTTTTGTGAGTGACTGTATATTAATTCATGTGCATACGAACTACTGCCGCACAGCGGATTTATTATATTATATTATTAATATATTATATGTTTATTATTAATATCGTTATTAATTATACCCTGAACCCATTTTCAATGGGAAATCAGGGTATAATGGTTTTGTTGAAATGTATGTAACAGGCAGAAGGAGGCGTGGCAGACCCCACAAAGTATATATATTCTTGATCAGGGCGACGAGCTGAGTTGATTTGGCCCTGTCCGTCTGTCCGTCCATCCGTCTGTCCGTATGTTTGAACGCGTCGATTTTCGAAGATATAAGAGCTAGAGACTTGACTTTGTTTTTAAAATGACCGTATATACAGCGCGGACGTCGAGTTTGCTTTTAAAATTCGATAAATCATCCCGTTATGTTTTTATCAAGTAAAAAAACATTCAAGTTCAAATCAGATGCCACTATAGCTAATTGTGAATGACTTTTCATTTTTTTAAATTTCTCAAATATTCAATATAATATGTAGATCATATACTGAAAGTTTCATTAAAAATATTTGGCCAATCAACAAACTCACGTGCAGCAGCTACATCAGATTAGAGGGTTCAGGGTATCTCCTAGTCGAGCAGTCTCGACTAGAGTCTTCTTACTTGTTTTTTTTTAAATATTTGTTTAATGACAATCATTTTATATTACAAGTTGCAAGTGGACTGGTGTGTGTGTGTGCGTGTGTGTGTTTGAGTGTCTTGTGTAAGTAGAAAGGCCTGAAAAATGAATGAAATACCTATTGCTCGAAGGGTTCAGGGGATCTCGTAGTCGAGCAGTCTCGACTAGAGCTTTCTTACTTGTTACTTATTACATATTATTGCTTATATCTTATAGGGCGACTGGGTACACCACAATGAAGTTTGGAAAGTTTGCTGCATTTGCAATTGGAGGCAGTATTATTTTAATAGAAATTGCGCACCAAGAAGGATTTATTAAAATTGACTGGCCTAAACTGACGAAAAGTGTGGATAAAATAGCTGAAAAGGTCGAATCTTCTATATCAGGCAATGATCCGAACTGGATAGATAAGGTAAACATATGTATCAATAATTTTCCTTTCATATGAGAGTGCATCTGTAATTCATATTTAACCCTTAACACACACACACACACACACACACACACACACACACACACACACACACACACACACACACACACACACACACACACACAGATATATATTTATATATATATATATATATATATATATATATATATATATATATATATATATATATATATATATATATATATATATATATATATATATTTATATATATATATATTATACATATATATATTTATATTATACATATATATATTTATATTATATATTTATATATATATACATATGTATTGCGTATATGTATTTGAGGGCTATTTAAGAAGAAACAAATTTAAACTTATAAAATTATTCGACTAAGAAAAAGAAAAGTATTAAGTGCCATACATTCAAAACCGCACCTTCCCAATAAAATATCTATTTTATAAAAAATGAAATATGTATGAAAAAAAAAACATCGAAGAGGTTTCGAGCCTCCTACTCTAACATAATTTGCGTCGTCCTTAGCACCCGCGCCACTGCTTGGTTGATCAGCCAGTTGCTAAAATAGAATAACTTAATAACAGAGCGTCATCTGAAAAAACTACAGTAACGGCTAGAAAATCCAGAAATCAATCGAAATTCTAAGAATGTGAGAAAAGGCGCACTTCTGTCTGTATGCATAGAATAGACGATGAGTGTGTGCACATATATAGGAAAATCGCGCTGATCTGCTGCTAGCTTGAAGCCGGTATCCAATATATGGATATAAAAATATAATAAAAATCAAAATTGTATAAATTATATATGTATGTAATTTGAATGCAAAGATGCAATGACCATAGCAATAGCTATCGATGATTGTCCTGTTTGATGCCCTGTTTTTTGTTGCGCACTAGACTTGAAAATTGCACTATATACTCTGGTTGACACCGTTTTGGCTGTGAATGAGTCTTCTGCAATCGGTATCGCCCGACTGCACCGTTCTTACTTGTTTACTTAGGCGGATGGGCCTACATATGTGTGGCGTAAGCCTATTACAGAGCATAACGAACGAAAATTGAGGACTTTAGTAAAGCATGCCGGAGGCAACGTTATGGTTTGGGCCTGTATGTCAGCAGCCTGCGTTGGGAAAATTGAAGTCCAATTTAATTCAAAGTGATCGTAAACTAGGCCTAAAGGAGACTTAAGATTTGACCAAGATAATTAACCGAAATTGCCGAATTTTCCAGATTTGGATGATCTGGAAATGTCCGAATGTTATGAAACCACCTACCCAATCACCAGAAATAAATGTAATCGAAAATTTTTGGTCGTTTTTGGAAATAGGCATGCGCTTTTTTTTTCGAGGAATGAGAAAAAGTTACTTCAGAAGTCACCAAAAAGTTTGTGCAATCTATCCCAAAAAGGCTCAAAATAGTAGTTAACCAAATGGGTGGTCACACCAATTTATATTTATAAATTTTTTTTTATTTAAACACTTATTAATGATACCATGAACTCTTTGAAAATGGAAATCAGGGTATTTTACCCTTTTGTGTATGTAACAGGCAGAAGGAATCTTCGCAAACCCCATTAAGGATCAGGGCGACGAGCTGAATCGATGTAGCTCTGTCCGTCCGTCCGTATGAGCACATCGATCTCAGAAGATATAAGAGCTAGTGAGCTAAAACTTTGCATGCATACTCGTGTATATCATACGCAGTTCGAGTTTGATTTGAATACTATTAGGCCTGAAGACTTCAGATTCATTGTTGTGCATATATATTTAATGGATAGGAAAATTTTGTAATTTAGAGATTTTTGATAACACGCCCCCTTTGTTCACAATTAAAAAAATGTATTTATAATAATAGAGACTTTTGCTTCGAAATATACATATGTCAGAGGTTTATGTAATTAACATGATAATTTAACTTTAACTTTAGCATGTTATGCTATTAACATGAATGTGAAATGTTGATGGCGTAGCAATGTACCGTCGCGTCAGTCAGTCTGACACAATGTTGCGATGCTTCTTTGCGATGTTGTAAAACTTCATAGTGGCGTGACTGTGTCGCGAAAAGCAAAAGCGAGTAAGCTGGTGTACAGTAATGGAGCCGAAAGAAAAAAATTTACCAGTTGGGTGATCTTTTTCCATTTTTCTTTGACTCGGGTGCCGAGTGCTCTTTGATCAAGAAAACATTAAGAATACGTTATCCGGAAAGCGAATAAATAACCTTATAATATTGATAGAAATATTATTTCACGTGGTGAAGATGATTTCTTGAAACATGATGTAATGATTGGTCAGGAACTCTTGCAGCTCGGCTTTGGTGTGATAATTTATGCTGACGGGTTTAACATTTATTTATTTATTTATTTATTTATTTCTTAAAGCTATTGACAAAAACGAGAGTCAATTTTAATTTAAAAAACAACTAAGAAAGCTATAGTCGAGACTGCCTGACTACGAGATCCCCTGAACCATTCAAGCAACTGATATTTCAATAATTCTTTGCGTCTTTCTGCTTACACAAGAAATACACACACACTCACAGACAAATATAGGCAGGCACGCATAAACACGCATTGGCTGCAGTGGAGGCTTACTATAGGAATTTAATTGTTTAATAACTTCTTTTGTGGATGGACTATCTTCATTTTTAGATTATGAATATAACATAGATATGCATGTCCTTGCCAAAGCACAAATCTCTAGTATTTGAAATACGGCTTTTACAAAGATGGGTGAGGTGATAGTGAGGGGTTGAATATAAGGGTGGGGGTAAATTTGGTCAAAAATGAAATTCTAAAAAGTACATATAAGTCTATATTTAAAATTTGGCGAATCTAGCTTTAAAGATGTAGGAGATATAAATTTATTACTGTTTTCCGATATTTTTTTTAATCGATAACAAAATAGCAGAACTAGCTATCGATTTTTAAAGCAAAACTCGATACGCGCGTGGTACACATGGACCTAGGAAAAAAAATTCAAGTCTCTAGCTCATCTGAGATCGACGCGTTCAAACATACGGACAGACAGACGGACAGAGCTAAATCGACTCAGTTCGTCGCCCTGAAAAAGAGTATATATACTTTATGGGATCTGCCACGCCTCCTTCTGCCTACATACATTTAACAAAACCAATATACCCTGATTTCCCATTTCAATGGGTTCAGGTTATAATAAAACCAATTAACGAAGTCTACGAAGAAAAAAATATTAAAATTCTAGAAAACCTAATTGGTAGCAATGTTAAACTGAATGAAAGTGATAGGTGAAAATTAAAAGGAATACTTGGTGATCATTTAAATGATTTTATAGATGGAATTCTTGATGGAATTCTAGACGTGCAACTACTTGTGCTTTAGAAATTAGGTTGTTAGAGGGAAAATTCAGCAAATGATTAAAGAAAATGTCATACGAACAAGCAGTTCACCATTTGATAGTCTAATGTTATTGGTTAAGAAAAAAGATGGTAGTGATAGACTGTGTGTACACTACAGTGAACTAAATGCGAATCAAAAGAACAAGCTTTTGAAAGGTTAATAATCATTTTAGAGGCATTGGCAAATGCAGGATTTTCATAAATTCATATTAAAATTTTTTTTTATATAAAGAAATGTGTGTTTTTGCCAACAGGAATTGAGTATCCTCGATTTTACAGGCGTTGTCCGTTTTACCAAAGCCAATTTATAGGCTTGGCCTCATATTTAGACAGTTTTTTCCAAGATTTTCTAAACAAATTAAATCGTTGTATCACCTGACTGCGAAAAATAGCGGAGTTGTGTGGAGAGAGGAGCATGAACAAATACGTCAAAAGATCGTTTCCATGTTGACAAGTGACACAGTACTTATTATTTTTGATCCTCAACTCCCAAAAAAACTTGACACCGATGCGAGCTCGAACAGTTATGGTGCTGTGCTCATGCATGAGCAAGAAGGAAATATACAAGAAAGTATACTTCAGCGTTAGAATCCAAATATCATTCGTATTAGTTGGAAACTCTGGCACTGTACAATTCTGTCAAGCATTTTCGACATTGTTTAGAAATTTTCTGTATATACTGCATTATTCATCGAAATGGCAAAATACGTTGCCTGCCTGTGATTCCGAATGCTTTCAAACGGTCTGTAATTAATCATGTGCATGAAGCAATAATGTTTCAATAAGGTTTCAAAGTATGACGAAATTTAAACCACACGTTAAATCTAGAAACAAATAATTGCATTAAAGTCGTAAAATTCCTGTAGCGGTTTTCGGAGTACCCAATCGTATTATTGCAGATCAACGCAGAAGCTTTGCAAGTAGTGGTTTTAAAGAATTTTGTTTATGTAATAAAATAGATTTTCATTTAATAGCAAAAAGATCTAGTAGAGCTAATGGGCAAGTGGAGCACGTGATGAACACTAGGAAAAGTATGTTGATAGCAGTGGAAACAAGTTCGGGAACATGGCAAGAATATTTTTAAAAAAGTACAGTAGCTATGAATTGTAACTAGAGTAACTAGCTATGGACTAACCATTAGAGTTATTAAATGGTAGGGCAGCAATTCCTTTGGGCAGGCTACCTATCAATGAAGAAACGAAAATCGCTCGTAATGAAGCGAGAATTCAAGCTACAGAGAATATGGTCAGGATTTCTGAATATGATAAAAATAGAGTTTATAAAAAATAAGGAAAATCAAAATTGGTGACTATGTTTTGTTAAAGAGAGAAGAACGGTCCGTCCGTCTGTCTGTCCGTATGTTTGAACGCGTCATTCTCAGAATATAAGATATAAGAGCTAGAGAGCTATAAGAGCTAGAGACTTGAAATTTTTTTTCCTAGGTCCGTGTATACCACGCGCATATCGAGTTTTGCTTTAAATATCGAAAACTTGCCCTGTTATTTTGTTATCGATAATGAACCTTATCGAAAACCAGTTATAAAATTATATCTCCTACATCTTTAAAGCTAGAGTCTCCAAATTTTGTATGTATACTTATATGCATTTTAAACAATCTCGGTTTTTGTCAAAATTTACCCCCCACCCCAAATTCACTCCCTCACTCTCAAATTTGTAAAAGGAGTATTCAAAATACTACGGCAAATACTGTGGCAAATACATGCAAAACTATGTTATATTCATAATCATGAATATAGTCCATCCACAAGAAAAGTTAAAAATATTAATTTCCCATAGTAAGCCATGCGTGCGTGCGTATGGCTGTGTGTGCGCGTGTGTGTGTGCATATGCGAATAATTATTGCAATATCAGTTGCTCGAAGGGTTCAGGGGATAAGCAAATCGAAACAGAAATGTTTGACGACATTGACCATCTACCACCTAGAAGGTGTGGAGGACATAATACACAGGAGCTTTGTTAAAGTGTCAATGGTCATGCTTGACATAATGTTCATGGCGGACAGTTGATCTAGTGAGAGATCATGGTATAAGTAGTACATATCGTGGCGGCAAGAGACTGTTTACGTGTGGTATGATAAAATAAAAAGTAAAATAATCGGGTTTGTGCAGAAGAATTTGAATATGAATGATAACCTGCCAAGCTTACATTTGAAAGCCAAATGGGTGAGTTGTTTCTGAAGAGTACGATGCACTTTGAGAATGTAAATGAGATATCCCGTAACACTGCCATTTGATGATGTAATATGGATGTAATATAAAAATGAAATCAAAATGAGTTTATTTGCATAGACTAACATTTGAAGACATTAAAAAAATGTGTAATGAGATAAAAGAATGATTATTCAAATGATGCGAATATTTCATATTGGATGATGAAAATATGTAAATGATTAAAAATGAGAGATGATTCGAATCAGAGTGTTGAACTTTTTACACGAGGACGTGTAATCGTCAAGAAGGCCGTGTCAGAGGTTTATGGAATTAACATGAGAATTTAACATAACAGTAGCCTGTTATGCTAATAACATGAATCTGAAATATTGATGACATAGCAATGTGTTGGTGCGCTACCGCGTCAGTCAGTCCGAGACATACGTTTGAACATTATGATCGTGCTATGAAAGTTTCATGGAAGATAATACCACTACAAAAGAAATTATTCATAATATTTCCCACACTCCAGCGCAGTCGCTGCTTACTGCGCAGTTAGCAGAGCTCGGGCTTATGCGTGCGTGTGAATGCATGTGTATGAATATGTGCATAAAAGAAGTTCAGAATGATTAGAATATCAGCTTGGAGGGTTCATGGTATCTCCTAGTCGATGAGTCTCGACTAGAGCTTTTTTACTTGTTTATTTCCTAAGTGGTTGAAATATGCAGTGAAACGGTTTTGGTCTCATTTTTGAGTTTTTAAGCATTATTAAATATTAAAAAAATATTAAAAAGAAAATAAATGAATTTTTTTTAAATTAGTTTAAACATCACAAATCTGCATTCATTAGATTCATCATGGATATGATTTGCTGTAGAAATCAACAGAAGAATAAATTGATTGGCAAAATTTGCAAATAGATCAGAGGAATCCTGGTCATTACAAGTTTTTCCACCATTACAAGTTTACTCTTCAAGTTGCACTGTTTCGGATCGAACAAGCTGACGTTCGCAACGTATAAGATAATTGTCATAACAAGAATTTAAAGCATTGAAATTTGACTTGGCTTTCAAATTTTTAGACCAGTAAACAGTCGAACCGGACTTTTTATAATTCAGAGTATAATAGTTATATAATTTATAAATCAGAGTATAATAGTTTTGTGAAAATGTATGTAATAGGCAGAAGAATGCATCATATATTCTTGATCAGGGCGAGTCGATATAGCCCTGTCCGTCTTTGTATAGACGCCGAGATCTCAGAAGATAAATGAGTTAGAGATGAAATTTTGCATGCATACTCGTGTATACCATCCGTAGCTCGAGTTTATATTTTAATATTTTTAATTCAAATTTTTTCGATAATTTATCTGATATAATGGGTATAATGGCTTTGATGAAATGAATGTAAAAGGCAGAAGGAGGCGTGGCAGACCCCCCAATGTATATATATTCTTGATCAGGGCGACGAGCTGAGTCGATTTGGACCTGTCCGTCCGTCTGTCCGTATGTATGAACGTATCGATTTCAGAAGATACATTTTTTAAATGTCCGTATATACAGCGCGGATATCGAGTTTATCACCAAAACTCGATGACTCATCCCGTTATTTTGTTATCGATAAAACACCATATCGAAAATCAGTTATAAAATTATATCTCCTACGTCTTTAAAGATATTCTCCAAATTTTAAATGAATACTTATTTGCATTTTATACAATTTCGGTTTGCTAAAATTTACCCCCCACCCCTATATCCAAATCCTCACCCTCACCTTTGTATCTCAAATACTTGTGCTTTGGTAAATACAAGAATATCCATGTTATCATAATCTGAAAGTTTCATGAATATTATTAAACAATTAAGTTCTCATAGTACGCGAACACTGCAGCCAATGCGTGTTTATGCGTGCGTGCGTATCTCTGTATGTGTGCGTGTGTGTGTGTGTCTGCAAGCAGAAAGTCGCGAAAAATTATTGCTCTTTTGCTCGAAGGGTTCAGGAGATCTCGACTAGCAGTCTCTACTAGAGCTTTCTTACTTGTTTAAGCATACTATTAGATCTGGAGACTTCAGATTTCCTGTGTCTATACGTTTTATACCTCGCCCTCTTTGCCACAAATTTGAAATAAAACGTACTTTAATTACTAGAGATTTGCGCTTTAGAATATACACACATATTTACACAAGAATACACACAAGCGCACTCGGTGCTTACTACGCAGTTATCAGACTGCTTATACAAGCGTGTGACTGTATGTGTGCATTTCCCAAATAAGAACATACATAATTAATGAATAAGATTAATAACAGTTTCCCTGTTCGATTTCCATTCATTTTTAATGCTGGGCGCTTTTCTATTCTTTCAGACGGAACGATTTTTGGATCGAAAGCTTGATAAAGCAGAAAATCATCTTAAAAGAAGAGCAACAAAAGTGCGGAAATGGTACGACAAATATATTGGAGATGAAGACGGACCCAAAATTAATGAGCTTCACATATTTTTAACGGCTTTTATTGGAGGGATAGCCTTTGGTGTAGCTACAGCCTAATAAAATTAGCTATAAAAATTATATATTTATTTATTTATTTAAAAAAAGCAATATGCAATATATAGACGCCAGTAAACTTAAAGATAACTTTAACAAATAGTAATGTGAACACTGAAATGTGAACTGTGAAAAAGCATAGCTCGCAAATCATTTTTAACCGTTTCGGGATGTCTAAATAAGTGTCTCACTCACTTACACTCAGGGAGCAACTGATTCAATCGGTTGCTAACCGAGTTCGCGCTCGGCGAACAACCGTTTAATTTTTTGAGTGAAATGAGTATGGTGATTGATTTGGTCTCACATGTATGTGAAATCGGATGAGTTTGCTATTCTCGGGATTCCGCGACTGTTGTAATTCCACAAGAATATTGCATCAGCCGTTTGGTGTGTTGCAATAGGTCGAATATGATTTGTAGCAAGGAAATGTCCCGTTGTAGCTGGGCGACAGCGTGGTTCGGTGCCAAGCACAAGAATTGGTTGAGAAAAAGAGATCAGTAACGTTTATAACTTGTTTGCTTCCGAATCTCGCTACACAATGAAAATTAATTAAGAGAATGCTGGTTCTTCGACAAATGCTGGTGCTTCAACATATATATATTTATATATTTATATATATATATATATACACTCATGGTCAAATTAATAGGTGTGACCCAAAGATTCTAGCATATTTTAGAATAATTACGGTTTGACAACATCTATCAGCACGAAATTTTTTTTGTTAGGTATGGCCACACTATTTAAAAAGGAAATAGGTAAATCCCCCCAAAAAAATTTACTCGCTAAAAAGTTTTGGCTGTTATACATTCTCTACCTCAAAATCGACCTGGACACATTAATAGGTCTGTTTAACTAAACAAAAAATTATTAAAATATTAAAGTGTTTTTGAGTAAGCAAAGGTAGTATTTTTATTGAATATAATTTGATTGAAGCATCAACATTTTCATTTGCAACATTTAAATAAAATTAGATGGGTCGTGGAGTTCACTGCAGTGCTGAAGAGAGAAATCTCGTTCTCAAGCTTCGTGAAGAGGGTAAAACTTATACATGCATTGCCTTACTAATGGGACGATTAGAGAACTTTGTTACAAATGCTCTAGCACCAAAAAAAGATAAAAGGAAGCCGGGTGCCCGGAGGAAAACTACCGTAAGAGAGGATTCCCAGATAGTCACCTTGGCTAAAAGGGACCCTTTAAGTCTTCGAGAGCGATTGCCATCGAAATGGGCAATGTTGTATCGGCACGAACTATTCGTCGACGGCTATTAAGCTCGAATCTACCTGGGAGAGTTGCTCGCAGGGTTCCTCTATTGCGTAAATCAAATATTCGGATGAGGCTTAATTTTGCTCAAACTCACAAGGCCAGGTGTGGTTTAGAGGGGGAGCGTAAATGGAGAAAAATTCTCTGGAGTGATGAAACCAAAATCAAATTTATTTGAGAATGACTCAAATATAAATATTCGAAGACCTATAGGCAAAGAATTGGATCCTAGATATACAAAAAAAAAAAGACGGTTAAGCACGGAGGAGGCGGCATAATGGCTTGGGACTGCTTTTCATAGCATGCTTTTGAATTGGACCATCGACCATTTTCATAATGGACAGATTCCTGTAAAAGGAACTTTTGAGTAGTGTTATGCTACCACATGCCCACGACAACATACCTCTAAAATAGAAATTCCAACAGGATAACCATCCTAAATAGGACTCCCCAGTAGTTAAGGATTGGTTTCATGAAAATATAATTGAAGTTTATGAGTGGCCAAGTCAGTCTCCAGATCTCAATCCAATTGAGAACCTTTGGGGACACCTGAAAAGGCAAATTTCCAAGACTACCTGCTTCAATTACACCCAATTATTGGAAAATACTCAGGAGGAATGGAGCACCGATCCTGTGCAAAGGTGTAGAAAGTTAATATCCTCTATGCCCCAAAGAATCAGCAAAGTCATTGCGAATAAAGGCGGATATACAGGGTATTAACCATACTTATCTAAATATATTCTAAATATTGTACAATATTTAAGAATTTTTAATTTTTTTTTTTTATTTGTGCTGGGCACACCTATTAATCTGGCCAGCAAAAATTTGAGTTCTTTGTGAAGTATGCCAAAATTATACTAAAAATTATTATTTTTTAAACTTGTTATACCCTGAACCCATTTTCAATGGGAAATCAGGGTATAATGGTTTTGTTGAAATGTATGTAACAGGCAGAAGGAGGCGTGGCAGACCCCACAAAGTATATATATTCTTGATCAGGGCGACGAGCTGAGTTGATTTGGCCCTGTCCGTCTGTCCGTCTGTCCGTCCGTCCGTCTGTCCGTCTGTCCGTATGTATGAACGCGTCGATTTCAGAAGATCTAAGAGCTAGAGACTTCAAATTTTTTTTAAAGTGTTCGTAATTACAGCGCGCATATCAAGTTTATCATTAAAAATCGATAACTCATCCCGATCTTTTTTATCGATAAAAAACCTTATCGAAAACCAGCTATAAAATTATATCTTCTACACCTTTATTGCTAGAGTCTCCAAAATTTTAATGTATGCCTATATGCAATTAATACAATTTCGGTTTTTGTTAAAATTTACCCCCCACCCTTAAATTCACCCCCTCACCCTCACTTTTGTAAAAAGCGTATTTCAAATACTAGAGACTTGTGCTTTGGCAATTACATGCATATTCATGTTATAATCATAATCTGAAAGTTTCATGAAGATCGTACGTCCACAAAAAAAGTTATTAAGCAATTAAGTTCTCATAGTAAGCGCTCACTGCCGCCCATGCGTGTTTATGCTTGTGTGTGTGTATATGTATATAATTGTTTGTGTATGTGTGTGTGTGTGTATGTTTGTATGTATGTGTGTGTATGTATGCCTGTGTGTGCGTGCGTGCGTGCGTGTGTGTGTGTGTGTGCGTGTTTCTTGTGTAAGCTGAAAGACGCGAAAAATTATTGAAATAGCTATTACTCCAAGGGTTCAGGGGATCTCGTAGTCGAGTAGTCTCGACTAGAGCTTTCTTACTTGTTTTTGTTGTTTTTATTCTATGATGTGTCTATTTTTTAATATAAGTTGAATTTTTTAGGTTCATGAAAAAATATAGACGTTATTCCCATTAAAAAAAAAAAAATTTCACACCTATTAATTTGACCATGAGTGTATATATATATATATATTTTTTTTTTAACTATATATAAAACAAAGTCGGGTTTGTTACAAGTCTTATAACTCCAGATCTGCTGGACAGAATATATCTTTAAAAAATATAAAATATATCTGAAAAATTGACGAAAAATCCGTTATCCCTAAAAGTTCTTTAATTTCGGAGCTGTCTTTGCATTGTGATTTAGAATTTTCTTAGTAGGCTTGATAGCAGTGACAGTTTCCGGCCATGCTCTCATTTATAACAATTATTCATGCGAGTGCATATTCAGTATTACTGTTAATAAAAATTCCGCGTCCTAGAAGATCTAATCTTTGGCAATTTGGCAACGGAATGCCGCGAGTCAATTATCTGACGAAGAACGAGAATTCGCCTGAGAAGAGTGCCGTGTTAGTATGGAGCAAAGAAGGGTCTTAATTCGCGCTTTTCGAACACAAGAGCAAAGATAGGCAGCCCGTCAAACAGTCAAATTAGGAACAAGAAATCGTCGAGCTTATCGTACATATTAACAGAGGAATATTCTTCGAACTGCAAGAAGAAATGGTTCAAGTATTGATTTGAATCAAGTAGCGTTTCGATATGATTGTTCCATTGACTACAGCTTGAATCGTTTAGTTTGCATTGATCCAATTGACGTTGTTTGCCAGCATTGTGGCGCATTGAAGTTTGCTGGTGAAACACCCGGTTTGTGCTGCCTTAGTGGTAAAGTGACATTGCCATTAGTGGTCCCGCCACCAGAGCCATTGCGTTCCCTGCTCTATGGCGAAACACTAGAATCACGACATTTTCTAGCGAACACTCAAAAATACAATGCCTGTTTCCAAATGACTTCATGCTCTCATTTTAAACAAGTAAGAAGACTCTAGTCGAGATTGCTCGACTAGGAAATGCCCTGAACCCTCTAATCTGATATCCTAATCAGTCTGGACTTCCTTTCGACACACATACATACACACGCACGTATTAGAACGCGCTCTGCTAACTGCGCAGTAAGCAGCGACTGCGCTTGGGCTGCGCTGCAGTGTGGGCAACATAAGAATTTATTTGTTGAATAATTTAATTTCTAGACGTACAATCTTAATGAAACTTTCAAAACATAATCATAATGCTCAAATGTATGTATATTCCAAAGCACACGTCTCTAGTACCTTAAATACGCCTTTTACAAAGGTGAGGGTGAGGGGGTGGATATAGGGCTGCGGGGTAAATTACAAAAAAAACCGAAATTATATAAAATACATATAAGTCTACATTTAAAATTTGGAAGCTCTAGCTCTAAAGGTGTAGGAGATATAATTAAAAAATTAGCTTTCGATAAGGTTTTTGATCGATAATAAAATATCGGGAGTAGTTATCGATATATAAAGAAAAACTTGATATGCGCGTGATATACACGGACCTAGGAAAACAAATTTCAAGTCTCTAGCTTTTATATCTTCTGAGATCGACGCGTTCATACATACGGACGGACGGACGGACGGACGGACGGACGGACAGACGGACAGGGCCAAATCGACTCAGCTCGTCGCCCTGATCAAGAATATATATACTTTGTGGGGTCTGCCACGCCTCTTTTTGCCTGTTACATACTTTTAACAAAACCATTATACCCTGAAGTCAGGGCCATCTGACTTGCTTTGTTTTGAAACCAATTAATGGACATACTGTATGTACAGTGGACACTCCAGCATCCTGTTCCTTTAGCGAAATGATTTTTAACCGAAACCAAAAATGTTGCACCTAAATTGCATGCAAAATAGCGCCGAAAATGTTTTCAAATTTTTGTTGGTCGTTATGCGAAACATTGTACGTTAATGCGTTCGTCATACGATACGTTCGTTATTCGAGGCGATAGGCAACAGAGGGTCCACTGCATATACTTTGTGAGGTTAGCATTATCCTATTTTAACTGTTAAATTTTCCTGTATTCAATGAAAAGTGTATGTATAATTATGCATAGAGGTACTTCATATTTTTTCGATTATTTCCATGTGCCTTCCTTAGTGCCTTGTATACTAACCTTTAAAAATGTTGGCTTGACTTAATAATTATACAATTTTTATTTGTTATAATAAACATTTTTGCACAATATCATTATATTTTTCAGAAAGTTTTAAAAAAAAGTCCTTCTGTCAGTTGACTTAGATTTATTTCAGATAGCTTAAAATTCTGTATGATAATGAATACTAAATAATATCTGTAATTCAACTCTTTTTCTTTGATTTAGTGGTGGGTATTTTATTTTCGTTTTAAGGCGTTAGGTGATGATTTAATAAAACAGCGAATGTAAATATTTGTGCTGTTCGATATTAATGAATAAAATCTGGGAAAAAAATGGATGGCAAAATAAACACCAAACAGATAAACGGATATAGCGAAAGTTAGAAATAGATCAAATATTGCGGGCTTGACTCGATAGATATTAAGCTTTGGATTGTTGCTATTATAAAACATAAAATCTGGTTCCCGTTCATCCGGTTTGTCAAAAAATATTTTGACGTTTTTCAGATATTTTTCAAATCCGTCTTTAATGTCGTTATTCTGCAAAGTCGCTTTGATTCCGAGGTATGGACGAATATTGTCTTCAATTATAGCCTATAATTGAGATAAAATTTAAATACATAGATCTAAAAGAATGTACCGTTAAACTTACAGCATGACCTTCAAAAACTTCAGAGAAGGGATCTATTTTATACATATAACAAGCAAGTGATTCGGCTATATTCTTCACGGAAATAACCAAATGCTCTATTATATACGATTCGTTATCCTTAAACATCGTAGTTCGCAGCGGACTTACAGGGGATTTCGCTGAGGATAATGTAAATGCAGGAAACCGTTTCATACAGAAACGCTCATACTCCCACGATAATTTGGAGTCGGCTAGATTTATTTTTTTATGAATACCCTCCACTGTTAGGTTTTTGTTGTGATGACCAGCGATTGATTTTAGAAGCTTAAAGTAATTACTTATTGAAGTTTTTTCTTTAGGTGGTTTTGAAACATGCATATATAATACATTAGGTTGATTGGAATCTAAGCTTCGGGTTATCGTATCAAGACATAACACAAACTCAACATTCTGAAAATAAAATTAGAAACAATTGACAAAATGTTATTAATATTACAAAGGTAACGGAATATTATTATAAGTAGAACGCTACACGAATACACACAATGGTAGTAGAAATACCTTATTTTTAGAGAACAAGAGGATTATTTTTAAGAAACTCATTCATTTCTATTTTAAAATTAAATTTTAACAATAAGCGTCACTCATTGGACGGAATTATTCGTGTAGCTCTTATATCTAGTGCTTCACCGCATATCTGAATATATACTCACTATGGGCAAAATGATCGTTTATAGGGTACAAAGGTTTTGTTAAAATATACGTACGAAGCAAAAGGAGATATAGTAGATCCCATACGGTACATGCTCGTATGTATGATCACGTCGATTGACAGATAGAGATAGAAAATATAATTGATTATAGGTTCCTCATTTGAAGAGATGTTTCTAGCATAACTCTGCATACACTTGGAAATGATCATTAATTTTTTAGACTCATTCACGAAATTGAAATGAGTATATTGGTTTTGTGCAATGCCCGTATTGCTGTCCGTCTGTCCGTATGAACGCAATCTATTTCGGCGCTATTAAAGATAGAGACTTTGGAGCATATACTCGTGTATATCTCCGATTTATAAAGTGGTAAAATTTTCCCGATCCGCCCACTAGGGGCGTGACAAATCGGAAAATGCATTTTCCAATATACACGAAATCATGTTAGTTGAAAAGCCAGTAAGCTGAAATTTAATATATAGGTCCGCGTCGAGCACCCAAGACCACGAGCTATGGCGGATATATCTCCATATCTCCATCTTTTGTAAACCTAGAATGCTGAAATTGCACGTAAGCTGATGCTCCCATTTAATAAAGATGGGTGAAATAATTTTATATCTACGCCTACTAGATATAGTGATTTTTCGAATTCCGCTATATTTTAGGCACTATTGATGCTAGAGATCTGAAATTTGGTAGATATATGCGGGTTGACCATCCAAGTCCAACGAGCAATGGTAGATATATGTCCGCCCATAGGGGGCGTAGCAAACCGCAAAAGTTTACATCTCCTACAGTTTAAAGGCCGTGGTACACCAAAAAATACCCTATAATTTTCACATTTTTTGAGCGTTAGAATTCAAATTTTGCATTCAGGTTACCGGTTGAACTGACCAAAAATGAGCAGTCTACGGCCACTAGGGGCGTGGCAATCGGCATTTATAGTGCCCATATTGCGGCATTTATATGCGTCTGCCAGCTATTTATGTATTTGTACACATAAATAGGCTTAATAGGCATTGATAATACGGAAGGAAACATTTTTATAAATTTAATAAAATATAAAAAAGCTAAAATAACAAAAATTTGCAATTTATAATCTCGAGCTTTCCGCGGGATTTGATCTCGCACCCAAGCCGAATAGCATGTTCATGTCAAAATATCTAAAATAAAGATCGACGGCGCTTCTGCCTGCAGCACCACGGCATCGTTTCGAAAAACAGTATTTAAAACGAAATCATATTATTTTTACGACGCCACATAGTAAAAACAATTAAGAAGACTCTAGTCGAGACTGCTCGACTAGGAGATACACTGAACCCTCAAATCTGATATCCTAATCAGTCTGCACTTCTTTTCGACACATATACATACACACGCACGTATTAGAACGCGCTCTGCTAACTGCGCAGTAAGCAGCGACTGCGCTGTAGTGTGGGCAACATTATAAGAATTTATTTGTTGAATAATTTAGTTTCTAGACGTACAATCTTAATGAATCTTTCAGGGCGTAATCATATGGTGAAAATGTATGTACAATTTAAAGCACAAGTCTCTAGTATTTGAAATACGCTTTTTACAAAGGTAAGGGTGAGGGGGTGGATTCAGGGGTGGGGGGTAAATTACAACAAAAATCGAAATTTTATAAAATATTTATAAGTCTACATTTAAAATTTGGAAGCTCTAGCTCTAAAGGTGTAGGAGACATAATTAAATAACTCGCTTTTCGGGAGTAGTTATCGATATAAAAAGAAAAACTTGATATGCGCGTGATATACACGGACCTAGGAAAAAAAGTTTCAAGTCTCTAGCTCTTATATCTTCTGAGATCGACGCGTTCATACATACGGACGGACGGACGGACGGACAGGGCCAAATCGACTCAGCTCGTAGACCTGATCAAGAATATATATACTTTGTGGGGTCTGCCACGCCTCCTTCTGCCTGTTACATACTTTTAACAAAACCATTATACCCTGATTTCCCATTGAAAATGGGTTCAGGGCCATCTGACTTGCTTTGTTTTGAAACCAATTAATGGACATACTGTATGTACAGTGGACACTCCAGCATCCTGTTCCTTTAGCGAAATGATTTTTAACCGAAACCAAAAATATTGCACCTAAATTGCATGCAAAATAGCGCCGAAAATGTTTTCAAATTTTTGTTGGTCGTTATGCGAAACATTGTACGTTAATGCGTTCGTCATACGATACGTTCGTTATTCGAGGCGATAGGCAACAGAGGGTCCACTACATATACTTTGTGAGGTTAGCATTATCCTATTTTAACTGTTAAATTTTCCTGTATTCAATGAAAAGTGTATGCATAATTATGCATAGAGGTACTTCATATTTTTTCGATTATTTCCTTGTGCCTTCCTTAGTGCCTTGTATACTAACCTTTAAAAATGTTGGCTTGACTTAATAATCATACAATTTTTATTTGTTTTAATAACCATTTTTGCACAATATCAATATATTTTTCAGAAAGTTTAAAAAAAAAGTCCTTCTGTCAGTTGACTTAGATTTATTTCAGATAGCTTACAATTCTGTATGATAATGAATACTAAATAATATCTGTAATTCAACTCTTTTTCTTTGATTTAGTATTGGGTATTTTATTTTCGTTTTAAGGCGTTAGGTGATGATTTAATAAAACAGCGAATGTAAATATTTGTGCTGTTCGATATTAATGAATAAAATCTGGGAAAAAAATGGATGGCAAAATAAACACCAAACAGATAAACGGATATAGCGAAAGTTAGAAATAGATCAAATATTGCGGGCTTGACTCGATAGATATTAAGCTTTGGATTGTTGCTATTATAAAACATAAAATCTGGTTCCCGTTCATCCGGTTTGTCAAAAAATATTTTGACGTTTTTCAGATATTTTTCAAATCCGTCTTTAATGTCGTTATTCTGCAAAGTCGCTTTGATTCCGAGGTATGGACGAATATTGTCTTCAATTATAGCCTATAATTGAGATAAAATTTAAATACATAGATCTAAAAGAATGTACCGTTAAACTTACAGCATGACCTTCAAAAACTTCAGAGAAGGGATCTATTTTATACATATAACAAGCAAGTGATTCGGCTATATTCTTCACGGAAATAACCAAATGCTCTATTATATACGATTCGTTATCCTTAAACATCGTAGTTCGCAGCGGACTTACAGGGGATTTCGCTGAGGATAATGTAAATGCAGGAAACCGTTTCATACAGAAACGCTCATGCTCCCACGATAATTTGGAGTCGGCTAGATTTATTTTTTTATGAATACCCTCCACTGTTAGGTTTTTGTTGTGATGACCAGCGATTGATTTTAGAAGCTTAAAGTAATTACTTATTGAAGTTTTTTCTTTAGGTGGTTTTGAAACATGCATATACTAAGATAAAACTGTTACGAGTCGAATAAATGCTGCGACATATACTAACAGCAACGCTAATATGATTTAAAAGACGAAGTCAAGGTTGGATTATGACAACTTGCTTTATTGAATATCAACTTAAGACTAACAATTGTAGGTCTATTGACACGTATTTATGCAGTATTTATTTATGAGTATTCAGTGTTGGGCATTTCACCACACAATTCCAACACATTAACAATGTTGCGTCAACTTCTAATTGTCTATTATGCACTGTGTGAGTGTATGAGTATTCAGTGTTGGGCATTTCACCACACAATTCCAACACATCATCCGAATACTAGACCTAGGTCAACGAAGCTGCGCGCCTTGCAAAGACGAATCAGCTTAATGACGCGACCATACAGCTTCTGAATATTGTAGACGTAATCAGTATGATTATGTCACTTCCCTCTCCTTAAGAGGCGAGCCTGCGAGTCAAGGTGACACAGACGGGTAAAGTTTTGGTAAAGTTGATTGTGTCATCTCGATGATCGTGTTTTCCTGTTTTTGCTCTTCTGTTTCGACTGATGGCGTTGTTTGTTTGTTGGGCTCGTGAATTTGTTTTTTAAATTTTGTTCGAAATAATTTTATGGGGTTACAAGATACATATTTAAAATATAGGATTACAATTATGAATATGGTTATTGTGATTACAATGATTGTATATGTTAAAGTATTATTTTGTGATACAATTTTTACAATGTCATCATGTTTTATAGGTTTTACTTTAATAATTTCTATTGGGGGATACAATGGTGTAAGGTCAACTTCTAGTTGAAAATAGTTATCGCTTACAATTATGTCGTTTATTTGCAGTTTACATTGATTGATATTTATAATTTTGTTACCCTGAATATTAAGACTAACATTATTATTATTATTTTTTTTTTTTTTTTTTTTTTTTTGGCAATTTTGTTTTACAATTGTAGAAGTTATGTTCCAAGTTACAATGGTATTTGGCTTAATTAAAGATTTTATTATCTTTCTCATAATAAGAAGTTGTGCTAATGTAATCGAGTTGATAGCCATTATGATCAGGATATGGGATAATTTTGATTGTATTAATGGATTGAAAGTCAATTGGGATATGGGAAATGATAGTATGATTATGAAGTAGAAACCTGTGGAATTTGAATTTGGTTAATTTTCTTTAATTTTTTAAACTGAGTTTTATAGTAACGTGTAATTCTATTTCTGTTAGTAATTTGGTAATGATCTGGATCTATTTTTTCAACATTTTTATTGGCTTTAAAGGGGTTTTCTAGTTTTCCTTTTTGTAATGGTCCTTTTCGATATCTGGTATCGACTTCGTATTCTTGTCGGTCACTGTTGATTTTATTTATTACTTTTTCTTTATTTTCTTGAGTGTTTAACTTTGGTTGTCCCGCATATAAAAATATGTGTGCAGGAGTTTGTCCAGTTGTGTCATGCTTAGTCTTGTGATTGTAAATGTAAAGTATGGTTTCTATTTTGCTGAGTTTATTTTCTTCGTCATTTAAAGTGTTGATTATTCTAATTTTTTCGTTTATTGTTTTGTGTAGTCGTTCTATGTCTGCTATTCCTGTTTTTGTAGTATTTAATTGTAATTCTACTCCTTCATTTTCAAGCCATTTTTTGAGTGCTAAGCTGGTAAATGCGCCGTCTCGGTCAGCTTTTAATAATTTTGGCTTTCCTAACTGATTGAATATACGCATTAATGCATTCTTGCATTCTATCCAGTCTTTTGCTTTAATATTTTCAAGAGTAGCGAATTTTGAGTAAATGTCTATGCAACTAAGATAATGTTTGCCTTCAGAGGAATAAATGTCTATTACAAATTTATCGCGACAATGTTCGGGTCTGGGAGTAATTTTCATTGGCATGTTTGTGTTTCTGTGTTCGGTTTTTGCTAAATTGCAAATGTTACATTCGTTTACTATGTTTTGTGTCAGTAATTGGCTGTTGGGGAAATAGTAAGTTTCACTGAAGAGTTTATTTGTTTTTTGAATTCCGGGGTGTAAGAGTTTTTCATGGGTTTTCAAAATAAGTTCTTTAAATTCGGCATATGAGTTTATATTTTTAATTGAATGAGGCTTCGTAGAATTTTAGTGTGGCTAGTGTTGATAATTTCTTTATGTGCGTTTTGAATGATTTCGAAATCTGCATCACTGTCTATAAACATTGCACTAGTTTTTGTACAAAAATAGTCAATTAAATATTTTTCGGCTTTGTCTTTAGTCATGTTGTCGTATGTGATGTGAATTATAAGTTTTTTGAAGTAATTCTGTTTTGTAATATTTGGAATGCCTTTGGAAAATATAATTTGTCTTTTAAATGTGTTTATTGGTTTCTCTGTAATGCAAATTAAATTACTGTTATCTTCGTCAGCGCTATGTTGTGTTTCTTCTCCGAAATAAGTCTGTTCTATTTTTACTCGCGATAGAGCGTCAGCTATGTGGTTTTCTTTTCCTTTTATGTATTTTATGTCAAAATCGTATTCTGATAATTTTACTCTCCATCGGGTTAATTTTGAATTTGGCTCTTTCATTTTATACAACCAACATAATGGTTGATGGTCACTATTGATTTCAAAATGTCGACCTAGAAGGTAGTGTCGAAAGGTTTTTGTTGCCCATACAATAGCTAAAAGTTCTTTTTCTATAGCGCTATAATTGGTTTCGTGATCATTGAGGGTTCTGCTAATAAAACTGATAGGATGTCCGTCTTGAGAAAGTACAGCTCCAAGGGCTACGTTACTTGCGTCAGTTGTTAAAATGAATTTATTTTTGAAATCTGGAATTTTTAAAATTGGGTCATTGGAAATAAGTTGTTTTAGCTTTTCAAAAGCTCTAATGTATTCTGGATTTTTAGTGTCTATTTTTGCGTCTTTTCGAAGTACTGTTGTCATTGGTTTGGCTATGTCTGCAAAATTTGGAATAAACTTTCTATAATAACCGGTTAGTCCGAGAAAACCTTTTATTTCTTTAGTTTTTGTGGGAATAGGATATTTTAGAATTGCCTTGATTTTATCAGGATTGGGTTTTATTCCATCCTTAGTTATGACGTGTCCTAGGAAGGAAGTTTCTTGTTTTAGAAACTCACATTTGTCAAGTTGTAATTTGAGATTTGCTTCAGAAAGCTTCTCGAAAACTAATTGCAGTGAATGTAGGTGTTCTTTTAAAGATGTTGAATATACAATTATATCGTCAAGATATACTAAACAGTGTTTATTTATTAACGGTCGCAAAACATTATTCATGCAACGTTGAAAGGTTGCAGGTGCATTCTTTAATCCAAATGGCATACGAAGATATTCATAATGGCCATTTTTTGTGGAAAAGGCTGTTTTTTTGATGGAATCTGTATGCATTTCAAGTTGATGGAAACCTTTTGCAAGGTCGATTGTTGTGAAATAATTGCATTTGCCTAGTTTTCCTAAAATCTCATCCATGTTTGGTATTGGGTGTCTGTCATTTATAGTTACGTCGTTTAATTTTCTATAGTCAATTACGATTCTAAATTTTTGTTTACCTGAAGCGTCTTGTTTTTTCGGTACGATCCATAAAGGACTACAATAAGGGGAATTACTGGGGCGTATTATACCTTGATCTAACATGTCTTGAATTTGGTGTTCAACTTCTTGTTCGTATGCTTGTGGATAACTGTATGGTTTTGTATACAAAGGTGAATTGTGAGTAGTGTTAATAACATGTTTTTCTTGATTACTGAAACTAAGTTGATCGCCTTCTTTGAACTGAATGTGTTGATATTGTTTCAATAAACTTATTAAATTAAATTTTTCTTCTTCATTTAAATGGTCTAGTCGGTAAGGACTTGAGTTGATAGATTCTTGATTTTTAGAATTATCTCTGATTGGGTTGTTGAGGTGTTGATAAGTTTCAAGAATTGGTTGAGCTACGAAATGATTTTGGTTTGTGATCGGAATATCATTGATTAATTTATACTTTTTATTGTATAAATTAACAGTTTGGGATTTATAATCTATAACGGCTTGTGCGTCTGAAAGCAGTTTTCTACCAATTAGTAGATCGTAATCTGGTGAAAATTGATGTAAAAGAAATTCATTATTACTTTTGAACAAGTTGTTTGAAAGAACATTCACCTTTTTTGTGATAGTCAAAGGTCCATTGCTGGTTTGAATAAGACAATCGGTATCGTGAATTGGTAAATTAAAAACATTGTATGTCATCATATTAACAGTAGATCCTGTATCTATTAAACATTTTATATTTTTTCCTTTATAGGTGATAATTATGTATTGTTGGTTTCCGAGGCTGGCAGCTGAAAAATTTTCGGCTTTCTCGATTTCTATTTCATTTGGTTGTTCTGTTTCCTGTTCGGTTGTGGCTGGTTGTGTGTATGTATAGTCTGAGGTTTGTGGATAACTTTGTTCTTGGTAATATTGAGGATAGTATTGGGAATAAGAAGCTAATTGATTATAATATTCTTTCTGCATATAGTCGTGATAATTTATCTCTTCTTGATTTCTAGTTTCTTCATCTATACTCATTTTACTTTGTTCACTTTCTGCTTGTCTAACACGCTTTGTTGGTTGGTTGGCTACGCCAAAACTATTGAAAGGAGTTTGTTGTGGAGTTGTTTGTGTATGTTGTCCAAAACGATTATTGTCAAATTGATTTTGTCTGAAAATTGGTCTAAGTGTAGGGTTAAATGGTCTAACTGGGTTAGGCGTTGGTTGCATCGGTCGAGGTGAATAATGATTAGGTGGAAGATATGGTTGTTGAAAATAAGGTTGATATGGGACATAAGGATGGTTTGGTTGAAGAAATGTGGGAAACTTTTGAATATTTGGATTTGGATAAGTTGGCTTAAAATTTTTATCTTGCTTTACTTTGTTTTGATTTAAATTTTGACAGGGTTCATCAAAAAGATTTTTTTCTTGTAATATGTTAATTAGTGATCTTAAATCTGGAATTTCGCAATTTATGATTCGAATACAAATATTGGTAGGAAGTTTTTGAATTAGGTCGTCAATACTTGTTTTAATTAATCGATCATATAGTATTTTTTCATCTTGATTATTTTCTAATTCTAGCTTACTCATCAATGTCTGCCTACGGTGTTCTGCTTCTTCCAGAAAAGCTCGTACGTTGCCTTTGAACGGAGTGTTCCTGAATTCCTCCAGTAGAATATGGTTCTTGGTCTGCGTCTTGAAGTTTAGGATTAGCTGTTTTCGGAGATCCGTCCATGTAGTTAGGTTGGTCATGCCAAGAGATAACATGACTTCACTGCTGATGCAGCTTTCAACAAGTCCAAAGAGTATTGATCTCTGCCTCGCATCGTTGGTGGTGTACAGGGCCAGTATATAATCGATCCGGTTGATGAACGTGTATAAAGCGTTTTTATTTCCGGTGAACTTTTCAACATTTTTAAGTTGATTAATCACTTGGGTCATGTTGGTATCAGAAAGGGGTGTTGTTGCGTCGCCTTCCATTTTGTTTATTTATTTAATTTATTATAATTATATTTTATTTATTATTTGTTGTCGGTTTATTTTATTTTTATTGATTATTTAGTACGTATGTTGGGGTTTGTATGCACTGATAGCACTTTCGAAGGTTTGCGAGAAAACCAAATGTTTCTGGAATTATATTCTCTTCGAATTCTATAGCGTCTTCTTGAATTATTTTCAAGTTTTTTGCACAATCCGCGGCTTTGGCAATATGCGAATTTCGGTATACACGTCACTGTCGAGGTTTTATTTTAAAACTTGACGCGATATTGACCATCGCGTGGGTTGCCTTCGCGTTTGTTGTTTAGCGGATAGCAGTAAACGGGACACAAGAATTAATAACTTAGTTATTGCATCAGGATCCACAATTTATTACTATCCTACCGGCTGCGCCACTAAGATAAAACTGTTACGAGTCGAATAAATGCTGCGACATATACTAACAGCAACGCTAATATGATTTAAAAGACGAAGTCAAGGTTGGATTATGACAACTTGCTTTATTGAATATCAACTTAAGACTAACAATTGTAGGTCTATTGACACGTATTTATGCAGTATTTATTTATGAGTATTCAGTGTTGGGCATTTCACCACACAATTCCAACACATTAACAATGTTGCGTCAACTTCTAATTGTCTATTATGCACTGTGTGAGTGTATGAGTATTCAGTGTTGGGCATTTCACCACACAATTCCAACACATCATCCGAATACTAGACCTAGGTCAACGAAGCTGCGCGCCTTGCAAAGACGAATCAGCTTAATGACGCGACCATACAGCTTCTGAATATTGTAGACGTAATCAGTATGATTATGTCACTATATATAATACATTAGGTTGATTGGAATCTAAGCTTCGGGTTATCGTATCAAGACATAACACAAACTCAACATTCTGAAAATAAAATAAGAAACAATTGACAAAATGTTATTAATATTAAAAAGGTAACGGAATATTATTATAAGTAGAACGCTACACGAATACACACAATGGTAGTAGAAATAACTTATTTTTAGAGAACAAGAGGATTATTTTTAATAAACTCATTCATTTCATTCATTCATTTTAAAATTAAATTTTAACAATAAGCGTCACTCATTGGACGGAATTATTCGTGTAGCTCTTATATCTAGTGCTTCACCGCATATCTGAATATATACTCACTATGGGCAAAATAATCGTTTATAGGGTACAAAGGTTTTGTTAAAATATACGTACGAAGCAAAAGGAGATATAGTAGATCCCATACGGTATATGCTCGTATGTATGATCACGTCGATTGACAGATAGAGATAGAAAATATAATTGATTATAGGTTCCTCATTTGAAGAGATGTTTCTAGCATAACTCTGCATACACTTGGAAATGATCATTAATTTTTTAGACTCATTCACGAAAGTGAAATGAGTATATTGGTTTTGTGCAATGCCCGTCTTGCTGTCCGTCTGTCCGTATGAACGCAATCTATTTCGGCGCTATTAAAGATAGAGACTTTGGAGCATATACTCGTGTATATCTCCGATTTATAAAGTGGTAAAATTTTCCCGATCCGCCCACTAGGGGCGTGACAAATCGGAAAATGCATTTTCCAATATACACGAAATCATGTTAGTTGAAAAGCCAGTAAGCTGAAATTTAATATGTAGGTCCGCGTCGAGCACCCAAGACCACGAGCTATGGCGGATATATCTCCATATCTCCATCTTTTGTAAACCTAGAATGCTGAAATTGCACGTAAGCTGATGCTCCCATTTAATAAAGATGGGTGAAATAATTTTATATCTACGCCTACTAGATATAGTGATTTTTCGAATTCCGCTATATTTTAGGCACTATTGATGCTAGAGATCTGAAATTTGGTAGATATATGCGGGTTGACCATCCAAGTCCAACGAGCAATGGTAGATATATGTCCGCCCATAGGGGGCGTAGCAAACCGCAAAAGTTTACATCTCCTACAGTTTAAAGGCCGTGGTACACCAAAAAATACCCTATAATTTTCACATTTTTTGAGCGTTAAAATTCAAATTTTGCATTCAGGTTACCGGTTGAACTGACCAAAAATGAGCAGTCTACGGCCACTAGGGGCGTGGCAATCGGCATTTATAGTGCCCATATTGCGGCATTTATATGCGTCTGCCAGCTATTTATGTATTTGTACACATAAATAGGCTTAATAGGCATTGATAATACGGAAGGAAACATTTTTATAAAATTAATAAAATATAAAAAAGCTAAAATAACAAAAATTTGCAATTTATAATCTCGAGCTTTCCGCGGGATTTGATCTCGCACCCAAGCCGAATAGCATGTTCATGTCAAAATATCTAAAATAAAGATCGACGGCGCTTCTGCCTACAGCACCACGGCATCGTTTCGAAAAACAGTATTTAAAACGAAATCATATTATTTTTACGACGCCACATAGTAAAAACAATTAAGAAGACTCTAGTCGAGACTGCTCGACTAGGAGATACACTGAACCCTCTAATCTGATATCCTAATCAGTCTGCACTTCTTTTCGACACATATACATACACACGCACGTATTAGAACGCGCTCTGCTAACTGCGCAGTAAGCAGCGACTGCGCTGTAGTGTGGGCAACATTATAAGAATTTATTTGTTGAATAATTTAGTTTCTAGACGTACAATCTTAATGAATCTTTCAGGGCGTAATCATATGGTGAAAATGTATGTACAATTTAAAGCACAAGTCTCTAGTATTTGAAATACGCTTTTTACAAAGGTAAGGGTGAGGGGGTGGATTCAGGGGTGGGGGGTAAATTACAACAAAAATCGAAATTTTATAAAATATTTATAAGTCTACATTTAAAATTTGGAAGCTCTAGCTCTAAAGGTGTAGGATATATAATTAAATAACTAGTTTTTCGGGAGTAGTTATCGATATAAAAAGAAAAACTTGATATGCGCGTGATATACACGGACCTAGGAAAAAAAGTTTCAAGTCTCTAGCTCTTATATCTTCTAAGATCGACGCGTTCATACATACGGACGGACGGACGGACGGACAGGGCCAAATCGACTCAGCTTGTAGACCTGATCAAGAATATATATACTTTGTGGGGTCTGCCACGCCTCCTTCTGCCTGTTACATACTTTTAACAAAACCATTATACCCTGATTTCCCATTGAAAATGGGTTCAGGGCCATCTGACTTGCTTTGTTTTGAAACCAATTAATGGACATACTGTATGTACAGTGGACACTCCAGCATCCTGTTCCTTTAGCGAAATGATTTTTAACCGAAACCAAAAATATTGCACCTAAATTGCATGCAAAATAGCGCCGAAAATGTTTTCAAATTTTTGTTGGTCGTTATGCGAAACATTGTACGTTAATGCGTTCGTCATACGATACGTTCGTTATTCGAGGCGATAGGCAACAGAGGGTCCACTACATATACTTTGTGAGGTTAGCATTATCCTATTTTAACTGTTAAATTTTCCTGTATTCAATGAAAAGTGTATGCATAATTATGCATAGAGGTACTTCATATTTTTTCGATTATTTCCTTGTGCCTTCCTTAGTGCCTTGTATACTAACCTTTAAAAATGTTGGCTTGACTTAATAATCATACAATTTTTATTTGTTTTAATAACCATTTTTGCACAATATCAATATATTTTTCAGAAAGTTTTAAAAAAAAGTCCTTCTGTCAGTTGACTTAGATTTATTTCAGATAGCTTACAATTCTGTATGATAATGAGTACTAAATAATATCTGTAATTCAACTCTTTTTCTTTGATTTAGTAGTGGGTATTTTATTTTCGTTTTAAGGCGTTAGGTGATGATTTAATAAAACAGCGAATGTAAATATTTGTGCTGTTCGATATTAATGAATAAAATCTGGGAAAAAAATGGATGGCAAAATAAACACCAAACAGATAAACGGATATAGCGAAAGTTAGAAATAGATCAAATATTGCGGGCTTGACTCGATAGATATTAAGCTTTGGATTGTTGCTATTATAAAACATAAAATCTGGTTCCCGTTCATCCGGTTTGTCAAAAAATATTTTGACGTTTTTCAGATATTTTTCAAATCCGTCTTTAATGTCGTTATTCTGCAAAGTCGCTTTGATTCCGAGGTATGGACGAATATTGTCTTCAATTATAGCCTATAATTGAGATAAAATTTAAATACATAGATCTAAAAGAATGTACCGTTAAACTTACAGCATGACCTTCAAAAACTTCAGAGAAGGGATCTATTTTATACATATAACAAGCAAGTGATTCGGCTATATTCTTCACGGAAATAACCAAATGCTCTATTATATACGATTCGTTATCCTTAAACATCGTAGTTCGCAGCGGACTTACAGGGGATTTCGCTGAGGATAATGTAAATGCAGGAAACCGTTTCATACAGAAACGCTCATGCTCCCACGATAATTTGGAGTCGGCTAGATTTATTTTTTTATGAATACCCTCCACTGTTAGGTTTTTGTTGTGATGACCAGCGATTGATTTTAGAAGCTTAAAGTAATTACTTATTGAAGTTTTTTCTTTAGGTGGTTTTGAAACATGCATATATAATACATTAGGTTGATTGGAATCTAAGCTTCGGGTTATCGTATCAAGACATAACACAAACTCAACATTCTGAAAATAAAATAAGAAACAATTGACAAAATGTTATTAATATTAAAAAGGTAACGGAATATTATTATAAGTAGAACGCTACACGAATACACACAATGGTAGTAGAAATAACTTATTTTTAGAGAACAAGAGGATTATTTTTAATAAACTCATTCATTTCATTCATTCATTTTAAAATTAAATTTTAACAATAAGCGTCACTCATTGGACGGAATTATTCGTGTAGCTCTTATATCTAGTGCTTCACCGCATATCTGAATATATACTCACTATGGGCAAAATAATCGTTTATAGGGTACAAAGGTTTTGTTAAAATATACGTACGAAGCAAAAGGAGATATAGTAGATCCCATACGGTATATGCTCGTATGTATGATCACGTCGATTGACAGATAGAGATAGAAAATATAATTGATTATAGGTTCCTCATTTGAAGAGATGTTTCTAGCATAACTCTGCATACACTTGGAAATGATCATTAATTTTTTAGACTCATTCACGAAAGTGAAATGAGTATATTGGTTTTGTGCAATGCCCGTCTTGCTGTCCGACTGTCCGTATGAACGCAATCTATTTCGGCGCTATTAAAGATAGAGACTTTGGAGCATATACTCGTGTATATCTCCGATTTATAAAGTGGTAAAATTTTCCCGATCCGCCCACTAGGGGCGTGACAAATCGGAAAATGCATTTTCCAATATACACGAAATCATGTTAGTTGAAAAGCCAGTAAGCTGAAATTTAATATGTAGGTCCGCGTCGAGCACCCAAGACCACGAGCTATGGCGGATATATCTCCATATCTCCATCTTTTGTAAACCTAGAATGCTGAAATTGCACGTAAGCTGATGCTCCCATTTAATAAAGATGGGTGAAATAATTTTATATCTACGCCTACTAGATATAGTGATTTTTCGAATTCCGCTATATTTTAGGCACTATTGATGCTAGAGATCTGAAATTTGGTAGATATATGCGGGTTGACCATCCAAGTCCAACGAGCAATGGTAGATATATGTCCGCCCATAGGGGGCGTAGCAAACCGCAAAAGTTTACATCTCCTACAGTTTAAAGGCCGTGGTACACCAAAAATACCCTATAATTTTCACATTTTTTGAGCGTTAAAATTCAAATTTTGCATTCAGGTTACCGGTTGAACTGACCAAAAATGAGCAGTCTACGGCCACTAGGGGCGTGGCAATCGGCATTTATAGTGCCCATATTGCGGCATTTATATGCGTCTGCCAGCTATTTATGTATTTGTACACATAAATAGGCTTAATAGGCATTGATAATACGGAAGGAAACATTTTTATAAAATTAATAAAATATAAAAAAGCTAAAATAACAAAAATTTGCAATTTATAATCTCGAGCTTTCCGCGGGATTTGATCTCGCACCCAAGCCGAATAGCATGTTCATGTCAAAATATCTAAAATAAAGATCGACGGCGCTTCTGCCTACAGCACCACGGCATCGTTTCGAAAAACAGTATTTAAAACGAAATCATATTATTTTTACGACGCCACATAGTAAAAACAATTAAGAAGACTCTAGTCGAGACTGCTCGACTAGGAGATACACTGAACCCTCTAATCTGATATCCTAATCAGTCTGCACTTCTTTTCGACACATATACATACACACGCACGTATTAGAACGCGCTCTGCTAACTGCGCAGTAAGCAGCGACTGCGCTGTAGTGTGGGCAACATTATAAGAATTTATTTGTTGAATAATTTAGTTTCTAGACGTACAATCTTAATGAATCTTTCAGGGCGTAATCATATGGTGAAAATGTATGTACAATTTAAAGCACAAGTCTTTAGTATTTGAAATACTAATATAATCTCCATATCTCCATCTCTTGTAAACCTAGAATGCTGAAATTGCACGTAAGCTGATGCTCCTTTTTAATAAAGATGGGTGAAATAATTTTATATCTACGCCTACTAGATATAGTGATTTTTCGAATTCTGCTATATTTTAGGCACTATTGATGCTACAGATCTGAAATTTGGTATATATATGCGGGTTGACCATCCAAGTCCAACGAGCAATGGTAGATATATGTCCGCCCATAGGGGGCGTAGCAAACCGCAAAAGTTTACATCTCCTACAGTTTAAAGGCCGTGGTACACCAAAAATACCCTATAATTTTCACATTTTTTGAGCGTTAGAATTCAAATTTTGCATTCAGGTTACCGGTTGAACTGACCAAAAATGAGCAGTCTACGGCCACTAGGGGCGTGGCAATCGGCATTTATAGTGCCCATATTGCGGCATTTATATGCGTCTGCCAGCTATTTATGTATTTGTACACATAAATAGGCTTAATAGGCATTGATAATACGGAAGGAAACATTTTTATAAAATTAATAAAATATAAAAAAGCTAAAATAACAAAAATTTGCAATTTATAATCTCGAGCTTTCCGCGGGATTTGATCTCGCACCCAAGCCGAATAGCATGTTCATGTCAAAATATCTAAAATAAAGATCGACGGCGCTTCTGCCTACAGCACCACGGCATCGTTTCGAAAAACAGTATTTAAAACGAAATCATATTATTTTTACGACGCCACATAGTAAAAACAATTAAGAAGACTCTAGTCGAGACTGCTCGACTAGGGAGATACACTGAACCCTCTAATCTGATATCCTAATCAGTCTGCACTTCTTTTCGACACATATACATACACACGCACGTATTAGAACGCGCTCTGCTAACTGCGCAGTAAGCAGCGACTGCGCTGTAGTGTGGGCAACATTATAAGAATTTATTTGTTGAATAATTTAGTTTCTAGACGTACAATCTTAATGAATCTTTCAGGGCGTAATCATATGGTGAAAATGTATGTACAATTTAAAGCACAAGTCTCTAGTATTTGAAATACGCTTTTTACAAAGGTAAGGGTGAGGGGGTGGATTCAGGGGTGGGGGGTAAATTACAACAAAAATCGAAATTTTATAAAATATTTATAAGTCTACATTTAAAATTTGGAAGCTCTAGCTCTAAAGGTGTAGGATATATAATTAAATAACTAGTTTTTCGGGAGTAGTTATCGATATAAAAAGAAAAACTTGATATGCGCGTGATATACACGGACCTAGGAAAAAAAGTTTCAAGTCTCTAGCTCTTATATCTTCTGAGATCGACGCGTTCATACATACGGACGGACGGACGGACGGACAGGGCCAAATCGACTCAGCTTGTAGACCTGATCAAGAATATATATACTTTGTGGGGTCTGCCACGCCTCCTTCTGCCTGTTACATACTTTTAACAAAACCATTATACCCTGATTTCCCATTGAAAATGGGTTCAGGGCCATCTGACTTGCTTTGTTTTGAAACCAATTAATGGACATACTGTATGTACAGTGGACACTCCAGCATCCTGTTCCTTTAGCGAAATGATTTTTAACCGAAACCAAAAATATTGCACCTAAATTGCATGCAAAATAGCGCCGAAAATGTTTTCAAATTTTTGTTGGTCGTTATGCGAAACATTGTACGTTAATGCGTTCGTCATACGATACGTTCGTTATTCGAGGCGATAGGCAACAGAGGGTCCACTACATATACTTTGTGAGGTTAGCATTATCCTATTTTAACTGTTAAATTTTCCTGTATTCAATGAAAAGTGTATGCATAATTATGCATAGAGGTACTTCATATTTTTTCGATTATTTCCTTGTGCCTTCCTTAGTGCCTTGTATACTAACCTTTAAAAATGTTGGCTTGACTTAATAATCATACAATTTTTATTTGTTTTAATAACCATTTTTGCACAATATCATTATATTTTTCAGAAAGTTTAAAAAAAAAAGTCCTTCTGTCAGTTGACTTAGATTTATTTCAGATAGATTACAATTCTGTATGTAGTGGGTATTTTATTTTCGTTTTAAGGCGTTAGGTGATGATTTAATAAAACAGCGAATGTAAATATTTGTGCTGTTCGATATTAATGAATAAAATCTGGGAAAAAAATGGATGGCAAAATAAACACCAAACAGATAAACGGATATAGCGAAAGTTAGAAATAGATCAAATATTGCGGGCTTGACTCGATAGATATTAAGCTTTGGATTGTTGCTACTATAAAACATAAAATCTGGTTCCCGTTCATCCGGTTTGTCAAAAAATATTTTGACGTTTTTCAGATATTTTTCAAATCCGTCTTTAATGTCGTTATTCTGCAAAGTCGCTTTGATTCCGAGGTATGGACGAATATTGTCTTCAATTATAGCCTATAATTGAGATAAAATTTAAATACATAGATCTAAAAGAATGTACCGTTAAACTTACAGCATGACCTTCAAAAACTTCAGAGAAGGGATCTATTTTATACATATAACAAGCAAGTGATTCGGCTATATTCTTCACGGAAATAACCAAATGCTCTATTATATACGATTCGTTATCCTTAAACATCGTAGTTCGCAGCGGACTTACAGGGGATTTCGCTGAGGATAATGTAAATGCAGGAAACCGTTTCATACAGAAACGCTCATGCTCCCACGATAATTTGGAGTCGGCTAGATTTATTTTTTTATGAATACCCTCCACTGTTAGGTTTTTGTTGTGATGACCAGCGATTGATTTTAGAAGCTTAAAGTAATTACTTATTGAAGTTTTTTCTTTAGGTGGTTTTGAAACATGCATATATAATACATTAGGTTGATTGGAATCTAAGCTTCGGGTTATCGTATCAAGACATAACACAAACTCAACATTCTGAAAATAAAATAAGAAACAATTGACAAAATGTTATTAATATTAAGAAGGTAACGGAATATTATTATAAGTAGAACGCTACACGAATACACACTATGGTAGTAGAAATAACTTATTTTTAGAGAACAAGAGGATTATTTTTAAGAAACTCATTCATTTCTATTTTTATACCCTGAACCCATTTTCAATGGGAAATCAGGGTATAATGGTTTTGTTGAAATGTATGTAACAGGGAGGAGGCGTGGCAGACCCCACAAAGTATATATATTCTTGATCAGGGTGACGAGCTGAGTTGATTTGGCCCTGTCCGTCTGTCTGTCCGTCTGTCCGTATGTATGAACGCGTCGATTTCAGAAGATATAAGAGCTAGAGACTTCAAATTTTTTTTAAATGTCCGTAATTACAGCGCGCATATCAAGTTTATCATTAAAAATCGATAACTCATCTCGATCTTTTTTTATCGATAAAAAACCTTATCGAAACCCAGTTATAAAATTATATCTTCTACACCTTTATTGCTAGAGTCTCCAAATTTTTAATGTATGCTTATATGCAATTTATACAATTTCGGTTTTTGTTAAAATTTACCCCCCACCTCTAAATTCACCCCCTCACCCTCACTTTTGTAAAAACCGTATTTCAAATACTAGAGACTTGTGCTTTGGCAATTACATGCATATTCATGTTATAATCATAATCTAAAAGTTTCATGAAGATCGTACGTCCATAAAAAAAGTTATTAAACAATTAAGTTCTCATAGTAAGCGCACACTGCAGCCCATGCGTGTTTATGCGTGGTGGCTTGTATGTGTATGTGTGTGTGTGTATGCGTTTGTGTCTTTTTTTTATATTCATTTATTGACAATATATAACAAATTGCAAGTTGCGTGGTGGCTAGGATAGCGCGCGGTGCTTGCGGGACGGCCGTAAAGCATTGCTTCGCAAGCACTATGCGCTACCTTAGCCTGGGACAGCTCGTCTTCTCGATCGCTCGACTCTGCGGAGCTCCATCATCACCGTGGCCGCGAAGGTGCTTGTTAGTTCCCAAGCTTCCTCCGATTCCAGCATGGCGTTGACTAAGTTGTCCGCTCTGATAGAGCGGCCCACTGCCTCTTCCAGACGACGCCTCTCCTCCAGGAACCGTCCACATTCGAAAAGAATGTGGTTGGCGTCTTCCACATGCCCTCGCTCGCACCAGGGGCACTCGTCAGATTCCTCGTGGCCAAAGCGCTTCAAATAGCTCCGAAAGCATCCATGACCCGAGAGGATCTGCGTAAGGTAGAAGTTAACCTCGCCATGTTTGCGGTTAACCCATGGTTCAAGCTCCGGGATGAGCTTGTGCGTCCACCGCCCTTTAGCTGAGCTATTCCACCTTCTTTGCCATCGTGCGATGCTGTTCGCCCTGACAGCGTTGAGTCGCGTAGGCCCGTGCGAGTTCCGCTCCACGGCTTCGGCGACCAAATACTCCAGTGGCACCATACCGGCTATGACGAGCGCCGCGTCATCGGAGATAGTCCTGAAAGCGCAGCTGACTCTGATTGCGCTCAGCCTGTAGATCGCGCAAATGCCTCGGCTGTAGCTCGGCGTTGCCATCGCTCTTGCCCATATTGGCGCAGCATAGAGGATGACAGACCTAATGACGCTCATTAGGAGGAGACGTCGTTGCTGTTTAGGTCCCCGCGTGTTAAGCATGATTCTCGAGAGAGCTCTACAAGAATCAGCTGTCTTTTTATGCACATATTCTAATTGCTCGCGGAAAGTTAATCTTGTGTCTATCATGACACCAAGATATCTTATCGCCCTCTTTGACGCAATGGTGACGCTGCCGATCTTTATATTGGCAGTTTCCACTCTTTTGCGACTGCTGACTAATACAACTTCGGTCTTGTGTGCCGCAAGCTCGAGCCCAGCTCCTGTCAACCAGCTTCGTATGCGATTGATACTTTCGCTGCACATATCCTCTGTATCTTTGAGCTCCTTTCCTATGGCTACGACAGCTACATCATCAACAAAGCCAATGGTGTGCGCGCCTGCTGGTAGTTCCAAGCGCAGTACGCCGTCGTACATGATGTTCCATAGGAGAGGCCCCAGCACTGAGCCTTGGGGTACTCCAGCTGACACTGTATGAGTTTGGGGACCCTCACTCGTGTTGTATACCAGTGTTCTTCCTCTGAAGTAGCTCTTTATTATCTCTCTTAGATATTTAGGGATATTATATTGTGACAGCGCATTCAGTATCATATCCCAACTAGCTGTGTTGAAGGCATTCCTTACATCCAGGGTCGCGATGATACAGTATTCCTTCGTCCCGTGCCTCCATCTGGTGCCTTGAATAGCGGAAGTGGCCAGACCAACAACTTTGTTAAGCGCGTCCGTTGTTGACCGGGCCTTCCGGAATCCAAATTGGTTTGGTGACAGGCCTCCGGCGCTTGCAATCGCAGTCTCCAGCCTAGAGCAGATCAGTTTCTCAAACACCTTTCCCATGGTGTCTAAGAGACAGATCGGTCTGTACGAAGATGGCTCATCTGGTGGTTTGCCAGCCTTGGGTAGCAATACCAGATTCTGGGCTTTCCATTTTGCCGGGAACGTCTCTTGGATCAGGCATTCGTTAAATAATTCGGCGAACGTACTTGGGTGCAAAGCGAGGGCTAGCTTTAGCGCACGATTTGGGATCCCGTCCGGCCCCGGAGCTGTGTTGGTTCTAAGACCTCGGAGAACTACTGATATTTCTTCCTCTGTAACTAAAACAATTTCAGCAATTTCAGTGCTCGTTGAGCCCTGATCAGCAGACTCGGACTCAGGGGCGTGAATGGAGCTTAAACTTTCTGGAAAGAGTGTTTCCACAATCGATTTAAGCTCCAGACGATCCGTAGGCTGCACCTGTCTACCTGCGTATAGTCTTTTAACTACTATCTTATATGCCCTGCCCCAAGGGTCATATTCGGCTGAGTCGCACAACTGTAAAAAACATTCTCTTTTGCTTGCCCGAATGGCCTTCTTTAGCTGTCTTCTAGCTGCCTGGTAAGCTAACTGTTTCTCAAGAAACGTTGGCCTACCGCGAGCCCGTTGGTAGCTTCTTCTCGCCTGGATGCATTTGCGACGAATGTCACCTATTTGCGTATTCCACCAATACGTAGGCTCATGTTGTCGCGTGAACTGCTTGCGGCGTAACATGCTGCTATTGCAGGCACTCTGTATTTGGGCTACCATTTGGCATGCTCTGGCCTCAGCATTACCAATTGTACCCAGAGACTGAATGGCCTCTGAAAAGACCGCGGGATCAAAAGTATCTAGCCGATACGACTCCCTCCACAATGTTGACGCCCTGGCAGGTGGCTCACCTATTGTGAACAGAAGTGCCGTATGATCGCTGCCTGTATAGCTATCGCAATGGCTCCATGTTGCTCCCCGAAAGAGGGATGAAGTGACAAAAGTAATGTCGATAACAGACCCGTATCCCGCCCGACTGAAGGTGTACTCATGGCCAGTGTTGAGCAGTGCAACATCTAGTGTCGCGAAGATCTCCAGTAGGATACGACCTCTGGCATTTGTTGTTGGGCTACCCCATTCTAGCGCCCAGGAGTTAAAATCTCCAGCTATAATGGCCTTCCGACCCCTAGCATCCTCGGCAAGCTCGTCGAGCACCGTCGTGAATTCACTGAGCTGCATGCTGGGGGCCAGATAGCAACTGTAAAGCCACAAGCTACCATATCGGCCACGTACGAACCCATTGAATGACTTAACATTCGAAAGTACGTTCGTTGAGTTGCCGCATACCCACAACGCAGCTTTGCCATTAACGTCTGTTGACCATGTCCTAGGGCAGCTGGTTCTACAGTGGTGAGGCTCACTGAGAAAAGCTACATCTATACATTTTTCCCTAATGGTCTGCTCTAGAAGATCTTGGGCAGCAACACAATGATTTAAGTTAAGCTGCAAAAACCTTAACATTTCATTTTACGAGCAGCTTCACGGTAAGATGGGCACTTGAAGCTGCCTGCTGAATGGTCCGTCTGCTTTTCACCTTTCCGGATGCAGAGGCTACATTTTGGTGGCTTGGTGCATGCTTTGGCACTGTGACCCATTTCTCCACACCTGAAACAGGCGCCCTTTAAGTCACAGTCGCTGCCGCAGTTTGCTGCCATATGACCGTAATCGAGGCACTTGAAACAGCGTTTAGGCTGCTCCACGGCTCGGATACGGCAAACTACCCATCCTATTCTAATTTTGGACAGCTCGAGCAGAGTTTTAGCTTTCCCAATTGGAAGAGCAACCGTAGCTCTTTGCTGTCCACCAAAAGCTGGCCGAAGCGATTTGATAGCCTCAATGGGGAGTGAGCTATCCTTCAACTCCACCCTAATTGCCTCCAAGATCTCCTCTTTGGTCGCTAACTCATCTAGATCGCGAATCTCAACTTGCGCCGATTCGGTAAGTGTTTTAACTACCGCTCGGTCTCCCAAGGCCTTGCCTACAGCTTCGTGCAGAGCCTCAGCGCTATGCTCCGGCTTCCTACTCAGTTGCAGTAAAAGGTCCCCCTTAGCTGTCTTCCTAATGCCTTGAACGTCGCTGCTCAGATGCTTCAAATTTGGGTCGTTTTTAACTACACGAAGCATGTCCGCGTAGCTGCAACCCCCTACGCCTGAAATCGCAATCGCGTCAGTCCTGGGACGTTTTTGCATAGGCTTTCGCCCTTTGACGACTGTCCAGCTGCTCTGGTTTGTCTGTCGGGCGGCCTGGTTTGAAGTTTCAGATTCAGCTGTAGCCCGTAGAGCCATTGGTTCTTTTGGGTTCGCTGCACTTCTATTGGGCCTCGGCTTTTTTGAGGGAGTTTTCCTCTGTTCGGAGGCAACTTCCCTCGACCGCTTGGGAGTATTGCTACCTACTGTAGCACTAATGCTCGCTGCCTTAACGTTTTCGCCTACTTTTTTGAGTGGCGTGGTCTGCACCTCACAGTTTTTAACCGAACGGTTGCAGAACGCTTCGGCCGTCTTGTGAAGGCT